ATATTAGAATGACTTGTTTTGAAACGTTTCATATTGAGGGTATTTTAGGAACTTTAAATTTTTAAAATGATAAAAGCGTATTTTGAAAAGGGTATTGTTGAATTTGGAGTATTTTCAATAATTTCTCCTCAAGGATCGAATATTTAACAAACGCTTCTTTAGCAATGGTTGGTCCATGGGGAGCTAATTAAGACGCTGTTTGGGTCACCTTTTATCTCATTAAAATGAAAAATATGACAATTATCTATAACATTAACATTTAAATTCAAATTTTATATCTCTTGTATGAGCCCCAATAACGACTATATTTTTCATTCTCATTCTACAATAAGGGGGGGCTCAAATAGGGCCTAAAATGGAAAAATTCATTTGTACAAAGATCATTTTACAGAAATTCACCAGAATACTAATAATGAGTGGGCCCCACCATGTATTAAAAAAAATAGTGTGGGGAACCCACATATGTGTGTTTTCTGTGAATTTTCTGGTGAATTGACTTCTGTATATGAAGCATATCTCCAATTAAAATCACCAATTACAAACCACTGTCTCGTGTGAACGTTCTAAAAAGGATAAGAAAGCATATAAAAATATTTTCTTATTTTAATATTATTTAAGATTTTTAAATCAACCTAAAAATTTATTTAATAATTTAAAAAAGCGCCGAAAAGAGTAAAAAAGTTAAACAGCGTAAAAAAGTGTGCCTAAACATAAATAGGTGCGAAAAAAATAAAAAACTAAAAATGTGAGGCATATATGGGTGTTAATTTGGCTCACTGGCTCGAACGGCCACATGTCATGGGCCATTTTCGTTCCATTATGAGCTGATACTAAAAAAAAAATCAACAAAACTTTTGTTTTTTAAAAAAATAAATTATTTATTTGCCTTAATAACAGGTAGCTCTACCTTGTTATGGCAACACATGCAGCTGCTTTATTACTATCTTGTTAGTCAACTCAGCTTGTTGAGGCTCGATCCGAACCTCGGATCGAGCCTAAATTTTTGACCGAGCAAAAGTTCAGTTTGAGTCAAAAATGTTCAAACCATTTTTACTTAAATCGAGCCCGAGCTTCAAGTTTCGACTCTCGAGTCGGGTCGGTTCGACTCGTTGACATCCCTATAGGCATTTAGACACCGCCTTTTAGAACACTAACTTCAATTACTACTTGCTCACCTAAAAATAAAGGGTTACTGATTATTCACCTACTTTTAAAAAAATGTACATATTTGCTCACTTCAACTCCATCTATCCAACTAACAAAAAAGTCTATGTGGCGGATAAAAATCATCTATGGCCACTAACGCCGTTAAAAATTGACAAGTAAATTTAATCATTTGCATTATAACGATTTCTGTATGATTTATCCCAAAAAAAAAAAAAAAAAGACAACTAAATTGAGCACATAATGGAGCCAAACTCGTGTCTTCATTATGAGGAACATGAGCAACCCACAATATCCCAAAATGGTAGGTAACTGTAATATTGATGAAGAAACATCGTTGGTGACAGTAGAAGAGAAACCACAAACATGTATATTATAATTTCTTTTCATGAAATTGATGAATTTGTGTACATGACATTTTTTTTATATTAGTAGTTGATGAATTTGCCGGCACTTTGTTGTTATCCACGTTCTTTCGCGTTTTTAGAAGATGGACCAAGTTGTTTATTGGATTTTTTTATCAATTTTTATGAATCTTAACCTGCTATATAAGTGTGTCCTCCAGTATTTAGGTAGTTCATCATTTACAGTGGCATTTAGGTACTGCATTGGCTGCTAAGTATTAAGTTTACATCTTAGCCTACTATATAAGTTTGCATCTCGTTGGTGTTACAATACCACCAGTTTCTTTGCAGATAATAGACTTGAAGAAGAGGAAGTGGTACTTGATGAATACAATTTGACTAAATTAGATGACGATGTTAATAACGATGATTTTCATTATGAAAAGAATGAAAAAGAATGGATTTTGGTTGGATTAAATGCAGATTATACTGTCGATCTTTTGACTGTTGAGGACAAAGAGTCAGGATCAGAAGACACTTATTGTCCAAGTGAGGAGGAGTTGAAAATGGACTATTCTTCTAGTAAAGAAAATACTTTTCATTTCTTTGTTTATGATGTCGAGAAAAAAAGTTCAATCCACAATTAGAGGTAGGAAAAGAGTTCAAAAACATTGACTAGTTTAGGCAAGCTGTAAGGAATCATAGTGCAGCATCTAGATGTAATTTTATATTCAGGCCTAATGATGAATTTAGAGCCTAAGCCATCTGCAAATTAGGTTTTACATGGATGATTTAGGCTTCATGGAATAAGAAGAAATGATGAGTGCAAATAAAATCTAAAAACTTCGAGCATACATGTGTCAGGGACAAAACAAATAGACATTTCACTGTCAAACATATAGAAGAGAGGTATTTAGATACCTTCAAAGGCTCATTATAAAGGCTATAGAGGACGATCTGAGATTGACAATTAATAAAGTTACGGCATGGAGGACTAGAAGATATGCAAGGGTAATGATACAAGAAATTGACTGTTGACCTATGGTTGATTTCAAGTTTTGATTATAACAAACAAATTATTTTATCTCTAACATTTATATTCGAGTCTTCATTGTTATATGTTACGAACCTAATGGAAATCAAGCATTCACAATCAAGCATGGAAATAGAGCACTTGCGTCAAAACAATCGGAGACAAATCAAGCCTCGCGCCACATTCAAAATCGAGCAACAAGTTGTGCACTCATGCCAAAACAATCAAAGACATTAGACTTAGATGATTTGAATCCATATGTAAAGGTAAAACGCTTTAATTCTTAGCAATGAATAACTACAAGCTCGTAAGCCAAATTTTTATGCACGAGATAAACTTTTTACAAAAACGCTTGCATAGAAAATTTTTTTCGATATAAAAAAAATCTCCACTTGACTTTCTTATTACCAATAATACTCTTTTTGAAAAGATAAGTGAGTATTTTCCTTAAGTATGTACCGTTGCAAAAATAATCAAGAAGAGAGTAAACCAAAGATGTCTGCTCTGGCCGACATCTGATGAGTCAGGCGAACGTCCGGTGACCCAACGGTTAAATTTTTAACCGTTTTGATTTCTGACGCTCAACGGCTAGTTCAATCATCCAGTACAGTGGCGGACGTCCGGTACGGGTCGTCTAGTTGGGCGAATTTTTTTTTTTTTTTTTAACTTAATACCACTTGACTTTACATTCAAAACTACTTTCAAAGAGCATTCAAGTTAGATTTTTTTGAGCAAAATTGCATTGATTTCTCATATCATTTATTATCAAATCATTTTGATTTTGACAAACTTTTGATCAAATTAACTCTTGAAAATCATTCTAGATGTTGCTTTTTTCTATCGTAAGTGTACGATATCGTAACAACTAATATAGTGGACCTTTGAGTCCAGATTATCGTTCCCATGAGAACTATACTCTAATCTTAATCTAATTTTTCTACTCCTATTTGATGAAAGTAAACAAATAAAGAATTGATATAGTTGTGACTATTGATTTTCTATAATGAAGTAAATACCTAAAACTAATGGAAATTATGATAAAATGTCAAACAATGATTGATCAAAGATTCACGTATGTAAGAAATATTAGGGCAAAACAATTTCATCTAATGATCACCTTAATTCCTAATTCAAGATTCTAACCTAATGTAGTGTTCAGTTGAATTCTCCTATGGTATTCAATTTACCCATCTTGAGTTCTCATTGAGCATATTCAACGACTTAAATTCCATATCTTTATGCGAATTACTCTTAGTTAAATGAATTTTAGTTCTAGAAATTCCTATAATGAATGCAATACTTAGTATAGGTATTTCTACACATTATACTTCGTTACCGGACTTTATTACGTTCTAAGCCTCAAACTCACCTCTCGATTCGTAAGAAACTCAATTGATCATCAAATTATTGGCCAGATAATTCAAAGCATTAAAATCATAATAAAATCAAAACATGGAAGAATAAACTACAGAAGTCTTGAATTAAAGAATTAAGGGTCACAAAAGATTACATTGTTTGCCCTAATGTAGAATTAGCTAAACATGATGAAAATGATAAAATAATTAAACACATTCGAATAGATCATCGGATTTAAATGACTAAAAATATGGAATAGAATCAGTTCATGCACCAAGATCTTCTTCCGCTTCCAATCTTTGATTTGAACTCGAATCCGTGATGAATTTCTTCTCGTGAATTTCCTCTTCAATCTTGTATTTTTCTCTCTATTTTGCAATCTATAGAACTCTTAATTCGTGCCTCTTCTTGTCTATTTATACTCCCCTCACGTTGTTGGCCAAATTGGAGTCTTTTTCTGGACTTTTCGCGGCCCAAAACACGTACCCTAAACTTTGCGGTGCAACGCCTAGGCGCCGTGAATGGAATACAGGCAACGCTTGGGTGCTGCCCGGGAGCTGCCTTGCTGCACTTCTTGATACCAAGCGCTACCTTATTGGAGTTTTCTGCTGCTTTCCCAAGCGCAGCCTCACTGACATTTTTTTCTTTTCTTCATTTTATATCGCTTGGGTGCTCCTTCATGCCTCTTGGGTGCCAATTTTTTGTCCATTTCTCCTTGCAATACATCCATTTTTTACCTAATCACCATACCTTCAAAAGAACACTAGCACACACATTAAAAATGTTCTAAAA